GTGCTCCTGCCATGCTTTTGGGTTTCCCAGCTTCCAGAACCATGGCCCAAACAAACCTCTCGTCTTTATAAATCATCCAGTCTGTAGTGTTTTGTTACAGCACCACAAAACAGACTAGGAGGCCGGTATCATAAGCAGAGAAGCGATTGTCACAGGCACCCCAATGCCCACAGGTCTGTAAAGACACTCATTGGTGGCTCAGTTGGATCTCAAAGAGTCCAGGAGTCCATGGGTTAACTCTGACAGACAGCATGAGCCATGGAAGATGGCTCTGAGGTGATGATCCGGCGACACTTTCTACAAACTCGCATCTTGCTCCTTTTTACTCTTGCAAAACTAACGTGTGTACATCCACAGGCATGCATGTGCCACAGGTGTGCCTGTGAGCTCAGAGGACAACTCTCCCTCTACCATGTGGCTTCTGGGGATTGAACTCAGGCCCCCAAGCCTGGCAGGAAATCCCTTTGCCCGGAATATCTCTCACCTTTCGTGTCTCAGTTCAACCTCTCACAAGGAAGGTCACTCCCAACCACTCCAAGAAACAGTTACTCATTGCTCCCAGGAAGAGCCCCCAGCTGACCTGAGGCAGCCTATGTCAGTCTGTGTGACCCTCTGTGGGGCCTCCTGGGTCTCCTCTCCTAGAAAACGGTAAGCTGCTTGGGGTGAGAGGCAGTCTGTCTCACCTTTGGGTGTCAGGGGGTAGGAGTATGTGCAGGTTGGGGGTCACACATGTGAGCATGTGGAGACCTCAACCTTGAGGTATTTTCTTGGGAGCCACCACCTTGGTTTTAGAGACAAGGCCTCTCACTGGGATGTGAGATTTGCCAGTGGAGCTGTGCTGTCCGGCCATGGGGCTCTCCTGATCCACCTGCCCTGCTTCCCCACTGCTGGGATTACACATGTACATGCCACACCTGGCTTTTTGACATCAAACTCAGGTCCCTTTACTTTAGCAACTGAGCCATCTTCCCAGTCCAGGCTTTGTCTTTGAGTGGACAGGGCACTCCCTAAGAGCTGTATCTTGTCATTGCTAAGGTGAGAGGAGGCAGTACAGACTGAAGCAGCACTTAGAGGCTCTCACATGGGCATGCTGGGTTCTGGTCTGGTCATTGAGTTCAGTGGCTATAGTGCAGGTTTAAAAGAAAATAGCCCCCAAAGGGAGTGGCACTATTAGGAGGTGTGGCCTGGTTGGAGGAAGTGTGTCTCTGTGGGGGTGGGCTTTGAGGTCTTTTTCTCAAGCTTCACTTAGTGTGGCAGTCAGTGGTCTTCCTGTTATCTGCAAGATGTAGAACACTAAGCTATTTCTCCAGGACCATGCCTGCCTGCATGTTGCCATGCTCCCTGCCATGGTGGACTGACCCTCTGAACCGTAAGCAAGCCACCACAACGAAATGTTTTCCTTTATAGGAGTTACCGTGGTCATGGTGTCTCTTCACAGCAATAAAAGCCCTAACTAAGACACTGTGTTTTCCTTCCCTCCACCCAAACCAGAGTCCCCTGTCCCATGTGACTAGTAGAGACAGACACTGGGCTTAAGCACAACTGGATGTGGGCCCTTGAGCAAATACAGGGGCTTTGGTAACATAGCGAGGGCCAGGGATTGTCAAGTAAGACTTCTGCAGGGCCCAGGAGTAACAAAACAGAGTACCACAGGCCTGGCAGTAAACCCAGATCATCCCTACTCCATCCTGCCCCTCCCTGCATTGTCTCCTGCCCCTCCCCACCCCCCAGAAGGGTTCTATTAATAACTTGTGATACCATTAGCTTTTGCTGTCACCAGTGCTGACAACTCAGAGCTGTCTGCAAAGACACAATGAATGAGAACTCTTAATTAACACCTCCCTTAACGAAACGAATTAATTTTATGCAGTCATGATGTCAGCGATATGACTTGCAGGGATGGCTGAGGCAACTTGGACCCACCTGGCAGGCACAGGGGTGCACCAGGCTGGCTGAGCACAAGGCAGGAGTGTGGCTGCTCAAGCCAGCCTGGGGACTTAGCAGCAGCAGGGCAGTGACACAGAAGAGGACCACTTGGGCAGTTCTCCTCAATGCCCCTGTTTCCCCTCTGTAAAATGGGCTTCATCGCTTGCCATAGTGTTTCTCAAGATTGTGAAGGAGATAAGAAAAAAGGTGAGAGAGGGAGGAATTAAAGTATCATAGAGTGCTGTGCACAGTGAATTATGGTGGCAACTACTTTCTCTCGCTGTCAGAGTCAAAGGGAGAAGAGTCCTGTGTCTTCCTTGTCACACTGAGGAGATGAGATGGTCTCTGGAAGCCATGAGTTTCTCCAAGGATGCCCCAAAGACAAGGGGGACATCTCTGTGACCTTGGCCCTCAGAAAGTCACTCTGCTGACAGGTGCTTACTCCAAATGAGGTTCTCATGGTGGCTACCTTCCATCCCTCCCTTCGAAGGGAAACACTTGTCTTAGGCTGAGTCTGCCCTGAGCTGAGAGAACCTCAGTCTGGCCCACTCCTTCCCAAGTTCAGGACCCAGTCTCACCCCTAACCCTTAAGCCCTGGACAACCTCCATCCCTCAGTACCAAGGTCAAGTTCATGGGCGGGACTCACCCTAGGAGAGGTAGAGGCCCTGCTTCCCAGGGGTTCATGCTGTACTCCTATAATAGGGAATGTCCTCCCTCTCAGTGTCTTCTCAACATGTGGCCAAGAAATGTCTGAGATAGCCAAGCAGGGACCCTCTGGTGTCCCTTGGGGCGAGAAGGAGTGCTGTCCTCATGTCCCTATCTTCACTTTCTTGGGCTAGGAAAGCAGTGACCAGATCCCTCTCTCATCCAGATGCTTCAACATTTCCTGCATACCCAAAGACTGCCAAGCCCACAGGGGTCGGTGATTGACAAAACAGGCATGGCACCTGCTGTCCTGTGCACACAGAGGCTGGGGAGAGAAAAACTGTTCCTTGGTAACCGCAATAAGCATGTCACCGGTAGCTGACCCCCTCCCTCCCTGACACACGCACAAGCTCCAGGCTGGCAAAGTGAGGGCATGCCCTGGAAGGAACGGTAATGGGCTCAGTGGGGAGGGATGGGATCACTCTGGCCATCCGTACTGCTACCAGAAGAGAGGCATCGTTGGTGGCTGTGGGAACACCGAGTACTGCATTAGTAACCCAGTCCACGTGGGCAGGAGAAAGCGATGATGTCACCCCATCCCCAAGCCCACAGCTGACCCACAGTGACCCCTCCTAGCACTCCATATCTCTGTAGCCACAGTGGGATGGCAGAGACAAAAGCCAGATCAGGGCAGCAGCCCCCAACCTTTCCCAGAGTCCACAGCCCAGAGAGTCCCCTGGTTTGTGACATCAGCAGATCACAGAGCCTTCCAGCTCGGCTCCTTGAAATAATAGAGCCTTTGTCTCATGTTCCCTTTGCAAAGTACCTACCCTGTTCAGCTCACTGACTTCCCAGAAGCCTCCTCACTTCCTCAACTGAAGTGACCCCAAGAATTTCTGAGGTAGGAGGCAACAGACCCTTGTTGCTTCCCATGTCACATGAACGGCTGTGTGACCGTGGCCGAGATCCTGACCTCAGAGCCTCCAGCACCTCCTCTAAGAACTATGACAGCCTACAGTACCATCTCACAAGGCTGTGGCTTGGAATGGGGACAACCTGACTCCTGCAATGGACAGCCAATGTACGGAGTCACATCCAAAGTTTCTTTGCCCAAATCCCACACTCAGCTCTTCTTTTGGCTGACTTCAGGCTCCCGCTGCCCCTCCCTGGAGGATGGAGTACTTTTCTACTCAGGGTAGACTGTGCAGGCTGGTTCTGTGCCTCCCTGGACCGGCTTCATGTCTCAAGGAACCTGCACCCTACCTGGTCCTGGTGACTCCCACACCTGCAGCCATCACCCAAGCTGAGCGTCACATTCTCTGGGCTTTCAGCCGTGGATGCCTTGGTGAAAGCAAACCTGAGGACCAGGTCAGCACAAGGTCTCCCTTCCCACTTCCCCACATTCTGGTATCTTCCCGCCTCTTCCCTCATACATGAGCTCTCCTAATGTCTAGGGCCTCCAACCTCCACCCACAAGGAACTAAAAGATATCATTACATCCCCAAACAGAATTCCATCTCCTGGGGCCTCTGTAGTCTGAAAACTACAACTATTGACCTGAATTTTTCCAAAGACTGACTTCCTACCATTCCGGGCATTAGTGGTGCATGCCTTTAATCCCAGCACACGAGGGGTAGAGGCAGGTGGATCTCTGTGAGTTCGAGGTCAGCCTGGTCTACAGAGTGACTTCCAGGACAACCTCCAAAGCAATATAGAGAAACCCTGTCTTGAAAAAGCCAAAAAAAAGAAAAGAAAAGAATCGTGTGTATATCAGGTTGTTTTAGAGACACCTTCTAGGCCCACATACCCCAAGCTGCCCAACTCCTACTGCAGTGAGAATTTTCCCACTGAGACAAAAGATGAATGCTCTGGGGTCTCAGCTCCCTCTTAAACAGGATGCTGTGGCTTTAAGAAGCTCTGGGTTGGAGGGTGATGGGAGAGCATCGATTTGGGGGCCCTCTGGAGATTGGGATTTGAATCAATGTGGCAATTACCTGACATGGTGGGACATGGCCACTGGGCTGCAAGCTTCTCTGTACCCCAGCCTGCATTCCTACCTTTCCTGGAAGAGAGCTCTGCTGTGTCAGGGTACCCATCCTCTTGTGACAGGCTCTTGAGAAGTCTGGGGTTTAGTGGCAGGAAGCCAATTGTCTGGGCCACTGGGTTTTCAGGAACCCAGAGGGAGCCCCTGGAGACTGTTGATAACCTGAGGACTGGCAACTAGACCAGTTCATCTCAGACCCTCAACTCCACGTTCCCACACACACCTAAGGAGAACAGTGGCACTAGAGCAGCATTCCTTAACCTGTGGTCCATGACCCCTTTGGGAGAGGTGAAAAACGCTGTCATGGGGTTCACATACCAGGAATCCTACATATCAGATACTTATCTTACAATTCACAACAGTAGCGAAAGCACAGCAACAAAGTAGCAATGGAAATAATTTTATGGTTGGGGCCCACCACAACATGAGGAACTGTATTAAAGGGTCATGGCATCAGGAAGGTTGGGAAGCAGTGGTCTGGAAGAAACTGGGGATATGTGTCTCTAGAGAGCTCTGGAACTGCCTCGAAGAGACTGGGGTTCTGGCTTGTCTTTCCTGCCCTTTCCTTGTGTTGTGTGACACTGGATGAGTCCTCTCCCCACTCTGGGCTTTCAAGTCTTATCTATCAGAGGTGAGCCTGGAGGTCAGGAATCAAGTAAGGTCGGGTAGGATGACTCTCAGGTTCAAGGCTATGATACCAGTTAGGCTTTTCCAAATGCAGCATCCTATGTTCCAGGAGATGTAGGCCTGGTGGCTGAGGCAGGGTCATCTGCAGCCAGGTCCCCAGCAGAAGAGTCCTTTGAAGAATGACCACAAGCTCATTGGCTCTAGCTCTCTCCCCTCACTCCTGGGTGTGGCTATAGGACAGGATATCGGAAGTAGTTCAGCTCTGCCCTGATGGTCTTCATGTCTTTGAATCCAGATCATGGTAGCTGAGCCATCAGATTCCTCTACTTCTTTAAGACTTTCACAGGCTGCTTCTGAAATGTATCAGAAGGACCCAACCCTCCCTGAGGACACAGAGTTAGAGGTTAGCATTGTTAGATGCTGCTAAGAATGGTAACTTAATAAGACAGACATGGTGCTGCACATCACCAACAATAGCATTTGGACAGCAGGAGTGGGGTGGGAATTTGAGGTTATTCTTGGCTACACAGAGATTTTGAGGCCAGCCTGGGCTATAAGAGATACTGTCCAAAACAAAACAAACAAGAAAACTAATGTTAATTTACTAAGTATTTGCTGTATGCACCTTTTTCCCCTTTGGGTTTTGTTTATTTTGTTTTTTTGTTTGAGACAGGGTCTTTGACTCACCTAGAGCTCATTAAATAGACCAGGCTGGCCAGTGACTTCCAAATGCTTGGATTAGAGATGTGTGTGATGCTCAGCTGAGATAATACGTTATGCTTTTCAGGCTGAGCTTGAACCCACTGTACATCTGAGGATGACCTTGGTGTTAGTTCTCCTACCTCCATCTCTCAAGTGCTGATGTCACAGGCATGCACCCCATTCTACGGTTTTTATGGGCTAGGACTCTGCCAACCAGGCTACATCTCTGCGCTCTGCTGTCCTTTTTATGAGATGGGTCTCATGTAGCCCAGGCTGGCCTCAAACTTGCCATCTAACCAAGGATGACACTGAACTCCTAGGTCCTCCAGGTTCTACCCCCTGTTAGGGCTATAGAAGTATGCTACCATGCCTGGTTTTTTTGTTGTTGTTGTTGTTTGTTTGTTTTTGGTTGCTAGGGATCCAACTCAGGCTTCATGTATTCTAGGCAAGTGCTTTACCAACTGAGCTATGGTCCCAGAGCCCTTTAGTACTTTAAACATGCAAAAGCTACCAGGAGTAGGGTAATTGTTGGCTCACTATAATCGCTGACTCTCCCTTTTTGCCGGGGTACCTTGATCAGGAAGCTGCAGACCAGACAGCCTCTTCTTTGTCAGTCAAGTCATCATGGCAGCAATTCAGCTTCAGTGAACACTCCATGGTCAGAGGAAGCTCTGCTCCCCAACCATGGCAGCCTCTGAAGTCCCTACTTGTGCTTCATAAAACCCTGCCTTAGTCATGACTGTTCCAAACAGCCTGTGCAGCTACAAGGCCGGATGGAGTCTAGGTGACCCTGCCCACCCTACAGTTGTTCTCACTGCAGGGGAGGGGAGCTTTTTAGTGAGTCAGCAAAAACTCTGTAAGTGGTGTTCATGTGAAGCTTGGATTGGTGGCACTAGAGGCCATGTGTGCATACACAAATAAGGCTATGATTGGCAGGATTACAATCCATGAACAAGCATGATGCCTCCCTTCTGGATACATATGTGGGCTATTTTCCACAGTTACGGTGTTAGCCTGGGAGGCTTCTGTCCTGTATATTACTCCCCTTACAGTGTTGGGGACACAAGGCCCAGCAAAGAGTTCCCTTGGCTGGTGTTTTGCTGACTTGTGATCTTTGTCATGGGTAGAGCAGGTTGGACTGGTTCAGAAGGGAGAAGACAAGACCCTAGAGTGTTCTACCTCAGCAGCAACAGCAGAGGAAGACAGCTGTGGAGCACAAGAGTAGTTAGGGCGGAAACTACAGATGGCAGAGACGCAGGAAGATGAGAAACTGCCACGTGCTAAGACAATGAGATCCGGTTCAGTACTCATCCCACCGCCTCTGGCCCAAACACCCAGAGTGCTAAGAGTCTGGGTAAAGCCAGAGCTGTAAGCACCAGTTGTGGCGACTTAGAGCAACAGTCTTTGGGGTTTGCACACACAGTCCAGGAGCCACTGGCAGTGGGGCACTCTGGCTGTTTGGGGGGGCTGTTCTCTGTTGACAATCTCTACCTGAATAAAGCAAGAGGACCCTCAACCAGCTATGTGTGACACTCTCTCGGGGACAAACGTTGGTGAACAAGCACTTTTCGGCCACAATCAGCTGAGCAGGACCCTAAAGTTCAAGGGCAGGCCCACTCCCACCTCCTTCATCCAAGATGGACTCTTTGAATTGCCTCCCAAACACAAGATCTGGCTGAGATCCAAGGGGCGTCTTCCCGAGTAGCAGGAAGAGGCAGGAAAGAGGACTTCTGCTGCTTCAGGGAACTGGTGGTCCCATCTGAGCTAGGAGTGTGAGACTCTCCCTCCAACCCCCATATTTTCTTCCTCTCCCTCCACCCCCCCCACCCAGTGAAGGATAGAATCACACCAAGGCAGCAATGGATGTCGCCTCACCAGCCAGAATACAAGTAGATTGCGTGCATGCGTGTATCAGCCCACCCTGCATGCCCTCTAACTACAGAATCAGACCAGGGCCTGGGGCAGACCAGAAAAGAATGCTACAGAACACCTGTTCCCAGAGAGCCCCAAACCAATAGCAAGAACGGCATGAACAAGGCCACCTGACCTGAGACAGAGAAGGGTAGGCAGGACCCAGGGGACCTAAGGTCCCTCCCCCGGCAAAGAGACAAGAGTAAATCTACCCAGGGAGTGGCACAGGCTGCCCTTCTCTCCACATTTTAACAAAGAGTGACCAGGCAGAAAGAATCCTTAGGGTCATCTAGGATGGGCTCCTAAGAACATGTGCCTACTCTGGATACCCAGTGGGTGACATGACCACTAATCACTCGGGACAGGAGCGGTGAACTCTGAGACTGCCAGGAAGACTTCTAGAGAGAAGAGAGCTTCCCCAAGGCTTTGGTATGGGTCCAGAAAGGCGGGAGCTCAAGTGAGGAAACTAGGAGGTGCGAGGTGAGGGTGGAGACGAGCTACTGACCATGGTACCTGGCAGGCACAATAGCTAAACGAAAGGACTGGAGCAGAGGAAGCCAATGCTGGCAGGAGTTCGCCCCGGTTGCTGCCCCCAGCATTTTATCAGTCAAGGTCTGTCTGCCTTGCTTGGCAAGCAGGGGTCACCCTAGACCCCCCCCAGTCTGCTTCTCTCCCTTGTTCCACAAGAGGCCAGTCAGGGAGCTACCTTCCCAGCCTCATTATATCTCCAGTGTCCAAATTTCTTTCCCTCGTTTTTCTTGCTAAGAGACAGCTTTTAAAAATGAGTCCCTGAGCTCAGCCCTTTCCAGCCTCGTTAATTTCGTGCCCCACCTCATTTGTTCCAAGGACCTACTTTCTCCTCCCAGCTGCCGCCTTCCTCCCACCGGCTATCTTCGGGTTTCTGCTCCGTCCTCGGTAACCTTGTGCGCCACTTAGAGTGCTGCGTGTGTTTCTGTCTGCCAAGGAACTCTGGATTCAAAGGAACCGCAGAGGTCAGGCGTCTGCTCACATCCAAACCCTTCCTCACACCTGAAATCAAGATCCCTTTTCCTGCGTGCCAAGCCCAAGGTGATCAATGCTGGTCCCTACTGCATTCCTGCAAGGGCAGGACGCTTGCTAGCCACATGGCCTGCCTCAGCACACGGTGGCTTTCACTAAGCCTGGCTTCTTCCAGAAAGACAGGCTGCTGGAACTTTAGCATGCTCCCTTGACATGGTTCCCTCTGAGTGCTCTGTCTGAGCCTAGGCTGCTGGGGGTGGGGTAGGGGGGCTCACATTTTCCTTGGTAATACTTTAGGGATGATCAGGGCAGGGGACCAAGCACCAGTTGCATTACAACTGGTACCAAGACACTCATTCTTGCCCCTTCTGCGGCCACTGCACCAGGGAATAGTAGGAATTTAGAAACATCTTTCCTTTTTGAGCTGGAAATAGCCTCTGGGCTCTCCCTGCTCTGGAGGCACTGAGAGGAAGGAAGGAAGGCTCCCTTTACTGAGACAGACCTTCAAAGACCCTTGACAACAGCCAGCCCTCCCCAGCCTGATGGCATTCACTGTCCTGTCCCCCACCCGATTCTCCACTCCCTCTCCAGAGGTAGTCTGTCCCCATCTGAGGGGGTGGAAGGCTAAAGAACAATAAGACAGTTGTCACATGCTAAAGATGCATGAGCACCTAGCACAAGCATTGGCCTTGCTCTGGCTGGAAGTCACCAGCAGTCCGGTCCCAGAGTGTGTTTTCTATAAACGTCCCTTGCTAGTGTCAGAATGACTGACTCTTGGGCCCTGATGGTGAGTTTAGCATTTGCTGAATGTTGAATACGGTGTTTTCTCTTGAAAGTCTTTAGGAACCTATGGGGGCTTCTCTTGGGAGGGCTGTCCCTTATAGGCTAGTAATGATAAAATTTCTTCCTGCAATAAACATTATCTACCCCCCTCTCCTAATGTGTCAATGACAAAACAAGGTACAATTTCACCAAAGCTCACTTTGGGGAACCAATGTGTATTTGGCTTATTTACAAGCAACTGGTGGATGATTACAGGCAGGAGCCTGTGTGGCCTTAAAGAAGCCATACTGGACAGTCTTTACCCATCATAGATGGCTTCCCCCCCCCACCCCCGTGGTTGTGTAGATGGAATCTTCTCCCCTAGTCCTTCAATGCTTATATCATTAGTGCTTCCCAGAGGCAATGTGCAGTCAGGGTAGAATTGCATGTGTCTGATTGGGAGGAATGACCAGACACACAGATTCCTGACCTACAGGCCCCTGACCCACCCAACCCTCCTTCTATAAAGGAATGTCAACACTCAACAAGCCCAGCCATGATGGTCTTTTGCAAGAGTCCAGCTGACCTGAAGATGGTGTCAGTTTGGTTCAGAGGATGGTCCCACACAACACTGCAACCTCTTGTCCTCCAGCTCTTATGTTCTTCCCACCCCTCTCTTCTAGAAGCATCCACGGTCCTTGGAGGGGGTGAGGGAGATATCTGACTGTTCTCCAGCTAAGGACAGAACCCTCGTGCCCTCTCGACATTGGGAAGTGGGATATTCCTCCCACTACAAAACACGAGTGAGGAAAAGGATGAAAAATGGGAAACTATCCAAACAGACTGACTGTGGTGATAACCTACAATTGCAAACACAACCGTGGAGAAGCACCTTAGCCACTGCGTCATTTAACGAGGCAGTAGCTGCTGCTTCTCTGCTGGAGCCTACGACCTTCCCCAGTTACAGGGTTTTGTCCAAGATCCCAGTTCCCAGTACCTGATGGGAATC